CCTTGGCTGGGTTCAAACTCACCAGCCTCGGTGTATGTGGTTGGTGCTCTACCCAGTGACCTACAGGTGCCACCCTCTTTCCCAATTTCTTTTTTTTTTTTTTTTTCAGACAGAATCTCAAGCTGTCACCCTGGGTAGAGTGCTGTGGTGTCATAGCTCACAGCAACCTCAATCTCTTGGGTTCAAGTGATCCTCTTGCCCCAGTTTTTCTTTTCTTTTCTTTTCTTTTTTTTTTTTGCAATTTTTGGCTGAGGCTGGGTTTGAACCCACCACCTCCAGTATATGGGCCTGGCGCCCTACTCCTTGAGCCACAGGTGCCACCCAAGTTTTTCTATTTTTAGTAGAGACAGGGTCTCGATTATTTGCTCAGGCTGGTCTTAAACTCCTGAGCTCAAGCAATCTACCCACCTCACCTCCCAGAGTGCTAGGATTACAGCCAGTGTGCCCAGCCTTCTTTCCCAGTTTCTTCAAGGACAGGTAACAACTTAGTTTTGGTTTGGTAATGTGAAACTTTAATACGAGTGACCCCATTTTGGTTGGGCCTGATCTACTGGAGTCTAGTGCAGGAGCTCAGTCCAAAACAATGGAGAAGCTGGATCCCAGGCTTTCTCATGCACTTCTGACCTGGCCTCTATGCTGTTTCTCAAATATTCCAGTAACACCCCCCTAAGGCATTCCAGCTGTGCCCTATTCTTGGACTGCTCTTCCCCCAGGTGTCTGCTCAGCTCACTCCCTGAGTCCCTCGGTCCCTACCTCCTCACCTCCTCACAGCCCAAGAACACCCGCAGTCTGCCTGAGGCTGGCAGTGTGCACCATCTCAGGACCTTTCAGGTCTCCCTGGATCCTGCACAATCAAGTCCAAAACCTTCGTCTGACTTCAAGGGTAGGGATTGTGCAGTAGCATCCCATCCATCCCCCAGCTCTCGGATTCCTCCATTTCCTTTTCATTTCCTGACACCAGGCACCCTTACTGCTTCCCTGCACATTCCCTACTCTGTGCCTTTGTTCTTGTGGGCTCCTGCATGTAGTTGGGACCATTTCCAGTCAGGTTCCCTCATCCTGATCTCCTAACTGAATCTGGCTTACTTTGAGAAACCATTCCTTGGTCGCTCTGCCTGCGCTTTGGGTGGAGGTTGGGTAAAGCATGGGACCTACGCCAGTTCCCACCTTGTGTCCCCCTAGCCACAGTGATTCATTTAGGGGTGAGCACGCCACCCAGGCAGAGCCAGTGAAATGGAATGCGATTAGAGCATGCTGGAACAGAGGCACGAAACTTAAGCTGGGAGGGGGTGAGATCTGGAGCTTCTCCTTCATCAACCCAAACTTCCAAAGGTGATAGGGGTGGCACCAGCGAGGGAGCAGCTCCCGAGGACAGCATCTGAGCCTCAGAATCAAGGCCTAGCTGAAGCTCATCCCAACCCCGGACTCAGCCACCAACCAATAAAATCCTTTCCAGTGTAGTGTGGGGTCCCATTTTGTTACTTGCAACCTAAAGATTCCTGACTGACATTCTCTGCCTGGGTGCTTCTCTAGTCATGTCTCCAATGCCATCCTCCCTGCCCCTGACATGTCCACTGGGACCTTTCCTCAGAGGGTCCACAGCCACAGTGACATCTCCTTTTCTCAAACTTCTGAGGCTCTCACTGCTCTTCCCCACCTCACAGGACCACCTGGTATAATCTGCCACATCTCACGTGTGCCCTGCTCAACCAGACACAGCCCCACACAAGGGTGGATGGAATAGAGGACAGGAAGACAGAGGGCTGGGTGCGTGTAAGCTCCAGGAGAGCAGGGACTTTGCCACCTGCACACGCTTTATCTCCTCAGAATGTAGGAGATGTCATTAATTATTTTCTGAATGCATGTTTGATGGACAGAGGAGAGACCGGGCAGCCAGTACTCTGTCCACTCTTTCTTCTCTCCTCCTGGGCTTAAGATGGCTTCATCACAGTGCATGTGTCATGAGCCCAGCTGCCCCTCGATGTTGGCTGAGTTACCTTTGGTGTTTCCCAAACACTGTATCTTCCACACCCCCATCTCTCTCAGCTCTGGAGCCTTTAGTTCTCTCTCCCTAAGGCCCCAGCTTCGCCCCTGTCAGGAACGACTCTGAGCTCCCTCAGTACCCAGGGAAATAAAGGTCTAGATCTGAGGGTGGCTATTTGTTTGAGGACATTGAGGACATAGATGTGCCTCATAAGGGACATCTTGTGCCAGCCTGGCTGATGAGATACACAGCTTGGGGCCTACCAACAGGGTCCAGGTGCCCGGAGGTCCTGACTGTGCCCAGATAAGATAAGGCAAGGTGTACCAGGCAAGGAACACCCGGCCGGGCTTGTCACAGCAGCACTGGTCGATATGTGTGTATGTGTGTGTGTGTGTGTGTGTGTGCGCGTGTATCTGTCTGGGAAGTCTGTGCACATGTGTCTGTGTTGCCGTGTGGACTGTGCATAGTATATACGGCTATGTATGTGGATCTGATATGAATGTGTCACTGTGTCCAAGCGGATCTGGATATTTGCCCATGTATTTCCTATGTCTTTGTGTGCATGTATTTGTGTGTGTGAGTGTGTACTCCTTGCAAAAGACCAATGTATGATAATTAGTGCCCTGAAGCTCATGCCCAAAAGAGAGGGCAAGGGCTGGCTACAGGTACCTGTCGTTCCCTCTCCCTTCTTAGGTGCCCTGTAGTGCAGCTCGCCAGCCCTCACAGCCCAGGCCAGCAGAGCCTCCTCCACCCTGACCTCACTTGCCAGCCTGGGCCTTGGTCCCTGCTGCTGCTCACTGTCTGCCCAAAATTCTGGCAAGGTTTGGCTTTCTGACTACATTGCCCAAACCTTTCCCAGGGGTCTTGGGCAGAATTTTCCAGACCCTTAGGCTCAGAGGCAAGATGGGCTCTTCCTTACATAAGGCTGCTGCCCAGCCTTGACTCCATGAAACATGATGTGAGTGCTCACAGTAGTTACTCCCTATGGGAAAAAAATCTTTTTCCTGGGTGCCTAAAATCCCAACCACTGGAGAGGCACCCTGATCTTGCTTTGTTATAAACTATCCTCGAAGAGAATACATTTTGTAGGCTTTTTACCTAGGTCCTGATAAGGAAAGAGGTGAGAGGGAGAAAAGATTTGGTGCATAAATGAGGGGCTGAGGGACAGAACTGCTGGGTGTGGCAGGTTGTGACCAGATGCAACCTTGGGAGTTGCAGTCTTCCTGATGCCTTGAAACCCTGACAGGATGGTCCGCAGCAGTCCTCATGCAGGGCAAAGAGCCACAGGGGCTACGGGCCCCTCCCCTGCCAGCAGGTGGGCTATACTGCACACCCCAATGCTGAGGTTCTCACTGCTTCCTGGGAGGCCTGTTGTTATGATGGACATCACTGAGTGTGGGGTGGTGCCCTTGCGTTTACCTCTCCCCCTTTCCCACTAAGGCTTCCCTCAGTCCTAAGCATACCTTAGGTTCTCAAGCAGGCCTTAGGGTTCATGAAATTCCCTGGAGATCTTGACATGTCACTCCCAGTTGAGAACTTTCAGTCCTAACTTAGGGGACTCAGGCCCTCAGCCTGGCCCCAGCCAATTCACAGGTTAGCCTCCTAGTCTGTATTCCCTTAGATGTGGGGAAAAGGAAGGAAATAGCACTGAGGTCTGATCAAGGCCAAGGAGATGTGTGAAGGCCCCATTCCCTTACTCCCATCCCCAGTGGACTGGGCGCAGGGCCTGGCGGTGTGGGGAGGTTGTTGGTAAGCTTTCCATAGACAGCACCCTGCATTCTAGCCCCCTTCTCCTTCTCTATGCCCCTGACCAACTCTTCTCCTTGTGCTCTTGTCCCTTGTGGAATAGGCTGGGGTATCCTAGCTTCTCCCAGCCCAGCAGAGCTCTGTCAGGCTCCAGGCAGACATTAGCATTTGGGGCCGCTAACCTGAGCGGAAGGAAGGCCCTGGCTTGGGATCACACAGACATCTGAGGACAGACTTCTGCCCAATCTCAGGCCCCTGCCCACTCTAATGATCTAATATCCTGGAAAACTCAGGGCCAAATAGGCAGCCTCAGCAAAAAAGAAGGGGCCAGGAAGAGATGCAGAATAGGAGTAGCAGAGAGAAGACCCACTGGCCGGTCCTCGCTACCTCGGCCCACCTTCTCTAAGATCTTCTCTCTAATTCCAATGGGGTGGGCAGGAGAAGCATCGGATCATTCCCCTCCTGTCCCAAGCCTAGCAAGGGGCCTGGCATCAGCCCTCTGCAGCTCTGACAGCAACACCTTGCCAGTCCTGATAAACAGCGTGGCAATGGGGATTGTTTCCATTTCATATGACAGAAGGCTTAGGCCAAGGAGGGGCAGGAAATGATTTGAGGACAGGAAATAAATTAGTTGAGACTGAAAGTAAGGTTCTTACAATTTAATCTCCAATTAGGAAACAGGGGCTCAGAGATGAATGAACAAGATGCTGTGCCCTGGTGGGCTCCAGCCTGGGGCAGGGGAAGGAGGAAGAAACCAAGACACAGAAAACAATGACAGATGTGCTGTGATACAAATGGTGCTAGGGAAGCATGAGGGGATAGAGGCCATCTGGCCAGAGGATGAGAGCGGTGAAATCCAAGAAGAC